CCGATATTTGGGGCTTTTTCTTATATAGGCTCCTATTACCCCACCCCCTGTCCCGATTTTTCACACTTGCTACCTGGTCAGCCTAGTCCTAGGCCTTGCTTTGTATTCCATGTGGCATTAATCTCTGGTGTTGCCTTGCTGGGGACAGTGAGGTTGTATTTTATAGGCTTTTTTTCCTTCATCTGTGGAATGTCAGCTTCTTTCATTACACAGATGATCGGAGAAAAACAGAGATGTGCCCAGAAAGGGAGACATCCGTTCCCCTGGAATAGGTGGTATAACAAATCAATCCCGACTGCACTGCTAAATTGAACTTCCAGTGTGGTGAGGCTCCTTCACAGGTGTAATCCAGTGTAAGACACAGCAGGAAGCCGAGGCAAAGAGAAGCATCTCATTTAGTGAAAAGCAGCTTGCTGGGAAAAACATTTCCCTTCCCCTCCCCCCTTTTGTGTCACAACATCTCCGAAATGTAATAAGCTCTGTCTGTCTGTCTGTCTGCGTGCACAGCCGGGTGGAGGGGCCTTCCCTGATCCCTGCTGAACAATGGTTAATTTAAAATGAGCTCCCCTTGCCCCTCCCCATTCTCAGGTGAGGGATCATAAACCAGGTGCTAGGGTTAGAAGGTACGTCTGTACTGAACACTCCTTATGGCAGCGTGTTGAGTACATACCCACATAGGCCCCCAGCACGGGTATAACTAGTAATATAGACGGTGAAGTACTGCTTAGGTGAGTAAAGACACACCTGAACCCCAGTGTATGTACCCTACACAGCTCTCTACACACCCAAGCTGTGCCTCCCACAGCTAGGCTGCTATTTTTCAGCAGTGTAGCATCCCACTTGCCTTCCCGCTGCTTGAGTCTTTCCCTGCCGCTGGGAAAGGCTCCAGCAGGGGAAAGGCTCTGGCTGCAGGAAGGCAGTGGGGAAAGGCTCCGGCAGTATCCACATAAGACCAGCATCCCCGCGGCCAGAGTCCTTTCTCCGCTGCCTCGCTTCTGCCATTGCTGTTGATTGCCACGTGTAGCTACACGCCGCAGTTTGGATGCAGCCTGCTTTTCACTTTGGCCACTAGCCAGACATAGCCTACATGCCCCCCACCAGCAGTGTTCAATGTAGCCGAACCTAGGGAGAGGGGATACTGCCCATGGGAAAACAGGGCTCGTAACAGTGTGATGAACTCAACTCTGAGAGCGCTTTCTGTTACAGAAAGAAAGAATACGCCTGTTATTAATGCACTGAACTGGAACACATGAGAGCTAGGTTCAATTGCAGGCTCTGCTACAGGTTCCCTGGGTGACCTTGAGCAAGTCACTTAATCTCCCTGAGCCTCAATTACCCAGCTGTAAAAAGAGACTAATAATACCTTTGTTCTCCCACCCTTCTGCTATCTTGACTGTAAGCTCTTTGGGGCAGGGACTGTGACCAGTGCCTAGCCCAACAGGGTCCTGTGCCAAGTCAGGCCCCTAGGTGCTACTCCAGTATAAATAATAATGATGACTCTGCTTTTTTTTTGCTACTCACAACTTGTTTTGATTTCAAGTTCTAAATATTATCCCTTGTGGGAACCCTTGCCCTGTCCCTCCCCTCTCCCCCCCCCCCCGCACCCCTCTGCTACTTGCACCTGTGTTTCATTCATGGGCAGTCAGAGCAGCAGCACAAAGCTTGGGAAGAAAACAGTCATCCTGCAAGCAGATAGACTCTCTCTGCCCAGCTCCCAATGGGCACGTGGCCACGCACGCACCGTTGGCAGATGTAGCAGGGAGGCCACGGACAGAGGGGAGTGTGGGTGGGAGTTACCGTCTCACCACCTCCTTCAGGTCAGCCCTGGAGCACTTTATGGGAGCAATGGGGCCCTGCCTCGCAGTGTCTATAGCAGTGGCGGCCATTCAGTACCAGCCTGGGCAGGATTCATACGGGTGATCCTCAGAAATGCAACGAGGCCCAGCGTTGCCAACTCATGCGATTTTATTGCAAATCTTGTGCTATTGGGTGTTTTTCCTAAAGCATTTTATGGGAGAATTGCAACTTTCATTTTTAAAACCAAGGAAGTTTCTATCCCTCATTATGGAGGCAGTGACCCTAAAGGCCCCAAGCCCCAAAAGGAAATTAAAAGGACCCAACCTTTACTATTTTTAAAATCTCATAAATTTTAAGCCAATCATGATTTTGGGGGAGCTGACCCTTATGAATGTTTGGGTTTGGCAATATTGTATTTCATATCCCATCACCAGGCTCTTGATCCACCCCATAGCTGACTTTTCCTAAGCTGCAAAAGGAAAAGGATACCTTATACCTTGTCGTTTTAAATGTCCGTCCATCCATCCAGCTGTATTTCCTAAGGGAAAACATTTTTCTCAGGATCTCATACTTCCTTGGTTGTGTTGCAGACTGGCAGTCTTCCCTCTAAGGATGGAGCACCATCTAGTGGTGCTTTGTGTAATTCATGGAGATATTACTGTTCGTTACTAATGAAAAGTCTTCTAATGAAGAAAAAACCTGCTTCTGGACATTAGGCTAGGTCTACACTAGCGGGGAGGAGTGCGGGGGGCAGCCTAAGATATGCAACTTCAGCTACGCGAATAGCATAGCTGAAGTCGGCGTATCTTAGGTCAATTTACCTGGCCGTGAGGACGGGAGCAAGTCAACTGCTGCCACCCCCCCCCCCTGTCGACTCCGCTTCCACCTCTCACTGCGGTGGGAGTTCTGGAGTCAACAGCAGAGCGATCTGGGATCGATTTTGTCGCGTCTACACTAGACACGATAAATGGATCCCCGATAGATCGATCACTACCCGCCGATCCAGCGGGTAGTGTAGACATGCCCTTAGAGTCTGTTACTGTGTCAATGTATATGAAAACGGTGATGGTGGTGTATGTGATAACTGATTGCATGCATACAATGTCTTCCATCGAGCATCTTAAAGTGCTTTTAAGAAAGGTGCATGAGTTATTACAAATGGGGATATTGAGACACAGAGAAGAAAAGTAACTTGCCCAAAGATACACAGCGAGGCAACAGTATTCAGAAAAAGGACTCTGCTCTCCAGCTCCCTGATCCCATGCTATAACCAATAGGAATCAGCCTGAAAACCACCAATCCATCTGATATATTTGGCCAGAAGCATTCAGTGTCTGAAGGCTGTTTGGTGGAGTCATGGGGTGTATAGCCCCCATGCTGCCTTGGCACCTACAGGGTTAATTTGAAAACTGCTTGCTCATCTGATTGGGGGCCTCAAAACAGCTGTAAAGATAAAAGGGCTTCAAAGCAGAAGGGCAGGGTGACCACCAGAGAGTGGAGCTCCCTTCAACAGATTGACAAGGAGTTGCTAGGGAAGTTGGTCTTCCAGAGTGGGAGCCCTAGAATGAGAATCTAGGGAAAACCTACAGAGGAGATAAGGTAGGGAGCAGCAAGGCATTGGTTCTAGCTGCTCAAACAGTGTCTCTGAGTTGGAAACCAGTGGAGTGGGAAGGTGGGGGTCCCCCATCACCTCCAACAGAAGGCATAGTCAGAGACTACCCTGTGCTAAAGCCATGGGCCTTCTGATTCATTTACGGTGAAAGGGCCCTTGTTATAACCACAGCGCTCTGGCTGGGTCCTCATCAGGCCCAGCCAGAGAGGTGAGGTTATAACAAGGACTCTGTGTTTGTCACAAGGATCCGGAAGTTACGACCTTTCTGCAACCTCTGTGGCGGCCAGTGTGGCTGACCCTAGGGCCACCCAAGCAGCTGGCTCCAGGACAGCAGCTGCTCTGGCTTCCCCCAGGACTGCTGCTTTGGGGGGGGGGGGGGAGAGAGAAACAGCCTCATCAGCCCCTGCAGGAGCAGCACTGGGGCCAGCTGACCCGGCCACTGCTCAGGCAGTCCCAGGCAGTTAGCCCCCAGGGACCGCCCAAGCAGCGGCCAGTGCAGCTGGCCCCTCGGGACCGCCCAAGCAGCAGTCTGGGGGGAGGCCAGAGCAGCGGCTGTCGGCAAGCCCTGGCAGCGGTCCCAGAGCAGCCGGAGCAGCTGCTGCTCAGTGGTCCCCGGCAGCTGGAGCCGCTGGCCCCATGCCCCCCCCAACAGCAGCCACCCAGCAGCGGCCCTGTTTATAGTAAAAGTCATGGACAGGTCATGGGCCATGAATTTTTTATTGCCCGTGACCTGTCCATGACTTTTACTAAAAATTCCCATGACTAAATTGTAGTCTTGGTTATAGCAAGAAATTGATAGACACAGAACTAAATAACTGATGGTGTGAAGGGGAGAAACGGACTCTGAGTCAGTGTAGCACCCCACACAGCTCTGAGAGGGTGCGAGTGGGTGAAGGCTGTCTCGGACAGGTGGCCTTGCACTCTTAGATTTGAACTGATAGCCCAGAGGTAGAAAGGTTGGAATTGCCAGACTGGATCAGACCCCAGGGGTCCATCTATTCCAGTACCCTGTCTTCAACAGAGGCCAATGATGGTTGCCAGAAACCATGCAGTAATTTGTAATAGGAAAATTTGTCCCCTGGGAAAGTTCCACCAGCTAAGTGTGTACGTGTGAAAAGGTAAACTTGCTCCCTTTCAGTTTCATGTAATGCCTCCTTGCTCTTGTTCTCAGAGAGGGCATTGCTAGTCACCTTCTCTACATTATCCATTATTTTGTATACCTGTATCATGTCTCTGGTTGTTCATCTCCACTCTAGGTAAACCATTTCAATCCTTTCATCAAAGGCTCTCTGTTCCCACTACTATTCGTCTGAGGCATCCAGTCCAATCTTCTGCTCCTTCCTACCCATCTGCTATAGCAATATCGCCCATTGCAAAGATAAGCGTCTCTGTAAATGCCGGTGGTTACAAATGAATGCATCCTTCAGAAACCTTTTATATCATTTTCCATGATGCACATTGTAAACGAGGAGTAACAGATCTTCAGCATTACCCAGGAAATGTTACTCTGCAAGTGATATAAAAGCTTTACAACACCCGAGTATGCACCATTGCCAAAACATTTTATTGTGAGCCAGATAATGTCGTTTGCATTGTACACATTTTCATATAATAATTCCAGGAAAACATTCTTTACAATTGTGTAAGAGCAAGTCACATGGTTCAGTGTAGTTTATTGTTACAAATGCTTAGTGATACATGGCACAGATGAATTCTGTTCCTTTTCTGGATCAAATAATCAATAGCGAAATAATCTCCCTGCAATTATGTTGCTCAGCAGTAAATGGTGAGAAAATAAATATGTATAAAATAAACTGGATATAGCCAACAATCATACCACTGTATAACATAACAACCTTGGAAATGGGTCCCTCACCCCAATTCTAAGTATAACCAATGCAAGAGGCTATTCAAACCATGCCCAGCACTTAATCCTATTATTTTTGGCAAACTCCCCCAGCTGTAAATGATTCCTGTTCACCCTGAGCCCACTTTACATAACAAACCCAGTGGCAGGTCTTCCCCATCTGTAATGCCAGGCCCCAATCTGCAATGAACTGCCTACCCCAGGGAGTGTCTGGGCAAAGCTTGTGGCAAGATCAGGGCCCATGATTTCTCAAATGTCCATGTGGTTCATATGCTGTTGGTATTACACTCAGTAAATCAGTGAGCTGAGTGCAAATGAAATCAGCCTTGTTTAGTTTGCACTGTCCCAACATGTTCATCTGCAGGTCAGGAAGGAGGCTAGAGGGTTGCTTGCTTGTGGAAAGCCGCATGCTTTATCACAGGATCTGTTAAAAGCACCTTGGGGGCGGGGGGGGGTGGTGGTTCTGGGTCTGGGATCTCTGAAATGACACCTATGCTCAGGAAGCCATGCCATTTTCTACGCACCGTACACAGTTCTGCTAACCCAAGGATGGGCACATTGGAGAGATCTGAACACTGGTATCTATCTATGTCGCAGCAGGCCACACAGGCAGATATGTTGTCTATTATAAATAAAACCAGATACAAAAAGTACAAAAATAAATATTTTAACAAGAATACTTCAAGTTAGAGTAACTACATGAGAACAGACTAACTATAACTGTAGAAATAGACTAACTGCTGGGGGACAAAGCATCGTACTTTAACTAGTCCAGCTAATGAGCTATAAACATGAGCAGCCCTTGGGCGAGGCTAGCCCCTGGCCCCACCCTTCTGCCAGAGGCCCCGCCCCCTCTGCTCCCTCACCGGAGCCCAGAGCACACTGCCCCGCAGCCACTTGTCCCCCGCTCTGCCCCAGTGCTGGGCGGGTGGCGCTGCCAGTGTGCCTCCGGCCCTAGTGCTGGGAAGGCGGGCAGCCTGGCAGCCCAGCCGTAATAGTTCCAGTCCCAGGTGGGAAGGCAGGCGGTACAGCCAAAGCATCCTCAGCCCCAGCATGATCCCAGTGCCGGGAGGGCAGGCGGCATGGCGTGGCCCCAGCCTGGGGGGCTTGCGCACCGCAGCCCTCAGCCTGCCTGCCCCAGCCTCTTGGCCACAGAATGGAACAGCAGACAGGAGGGGGCCTGGTGGAGCGTGGGCGGGGCCACACCAGGCTATTTGGGGAGGCACAGCCTCCCCCTGCCTATGATACCTGCCACTCATGGCTATAAAGATTATCTAATCTATAGGGGGTGGCATGTTATTAAGGGGCCAACGCTACTCTCATTACACATGTGCTGCTCCATGGACTTTACTGGGGTATTGTACAGTATTCGGTAACCAGGATCTGAATTTGGCTCAGTTTCTTGTATTATCTCTCTCTCTCTCTCTCTCACACACACACACACACACACACACACACACACTAAAAGAGCATTAGTGAGGCTGCCTGGGTAAACTTCATTTGCCCCCCTTGTGCGTATGCATTATGATACAGTCTTTAATTACATGATCACATGCTCCGCCCCACACAGACGCAACCCCTGGCTCATTCAGTGAGCCAGGCTGGACTTGCTCTGGGGATGAGTCAGGGTGGTACAATGCAGGAGGTGTTGTCAGTAGGACCCCTGCTTCATTTGTTGCCGAGCTGGAAGGTGTGTAATCAAAGAGGCAGGGAACTGCAGGAAGAGCAAGATTAAGGCAGCTGAATGCCACCCTGGGGAACTGGATTTTGTCCCTGTCTATGCCACACAGTCCCTGTGTGATGCTGGGCAAGTCATTTCAACCAAACTTACTCCGTGATTGTGTGACTGAAAGACTATCTCATAAGACATACACACAAGGGGGCTGAATAAAGGCTGTACAGGCAATCTTAATTCTGGAATTTCCTAACTTTTGAGTGCTTGACTTTGCAACCTCAATAATCTTCTTTGAATGTAGTTAGTGACTTCCTAGATTTGAAAACAGAACACTGCAAAAACCAGCATTTCCATTCTGTAGCATCATCTTGATGCCCACATGGGTCAATCAGCAGGGTGGGGACCTTTAGATCCATTGCACAGCCCTGGGCCACTTCAGCTAGCAGAGTATCTGAGAGCAGGAATATGTTCCAACTCTCATTATGGACCAGCTCTAGAGGGGGATGGGACATTCTGCCAGTGGGTATCACAGCTATTTGCTGACAGCAGAGGAATGTAAGACTCAGGAATCTCTGGTTCCATTCCCGGTTCTGGAGGGGAGTGTGCTTTAATAGGCACAAACTCTTCTGTTCATTCCCCCCATGACCCCTTTTACCCATATCTTCCAACCTGCTCCCATCCCAGTCCTGTGTCTTCTCCTACCCTGGTTCCTTGTCCCAATCCCATTCTTCTCTCTTACCCAGGCCCAGTCTGTACTCCTCAGGCTTCTCATCCACCTCCCAAGTCTCCTTGCACAGACAATCTTAGTCTCTCCTCCTCTTCCAGTCTCCATCCCCTTGCCCAGAGCATACCAGTTCCCTCTTCCTTGTTCGTCAACTGGCATAATCAGCATAGGTCCATTGACTTCAATTTCCACCTGAGGATCTGGCCCTAAAGCTTAGACTTCAGCTTCCAAATTCATTGGTAGTTTTCAGTGATTCTTTTTACACATGGCGGGAGGGATGGACCTGAATTACATTTGCCTGAAGGGGTTGTGGAATTTGAATGTGTTTGCGTCTTTAGAGCATAAGCCATTTGGGGCAGGGATCGTCTCTTTTCTAGGTTTGTCCATCGCCCAGCATAGTGTGGGCCCAATCCTAACTGGAGCCTTTGGGCATTACCATAATATACATATCTATTACTAATTGTAACAGTGTCCAACTACAATCAACCTGGAAACTATGGGGAGCCTTACAGATTCAGGGCATCCAATAAGGGACTTTTCATCCTGGTAGCTTTGCTAGTTATAAGAACTACATGTCACCCTGGTCTCTCAGTGAATCTACAACTCTGCAGCCCCATGCTAACAGCTGATTCTCAGAGGTGTCTGAAATGATGTATTAAAAATAAAAGCTGATCTTCATTTCACTGCATCTCGGGTCTTTAGATCCAATCTGTTCATAAAAGTAGATCCTCATGGGATAAAATCTATCCATATGGAAAGAGCCTGATCCAGCAACCCCTATTCACTTCAGTTCCCCTAATGCACTTAAGCCACCCCATTGGCTGACCTGGGACTGCTCGCATGAGTAGGGATTGCAGGATTGGCCCAAAGTATCCAGCATGTGTAACAAGTTGATAAGGAACAGCCCTCCATGTCCTGGGAGGGGCCAGTGTGTCTAAGTCCAACTCATTCCTCCTTCGCTGCTTTGCTTTAGGAATAGAGAGTCATCATCATCCACTGTAAAATAATGGGGAAAGTGGGTTGAACTAGCACATCCAACTTGACTTCAGTAACATTCACAATTGAGTAGGAGATCTGTGGGTTCTCTGTCTGTGGCAACACAGTATGCGGACCTCACATATGGTCCAATCCTGCTCACATTAGAGTCAATGGGGGCTTTACCATTGACTACAGTGGGATCACAATGAGGCCCACAGAGCAGGAACTAAGATCTGTGCTCTTCAGATCCCATAACACATAACCCATCCCAAGGGTGCAAGAGAAGCAGCTCCATTACAATGAGGAACGTATAGACACTGGAGCATGTGTAGTATAGATTCCATCCAGCAGCAGCCAGTGATGTGACCACATGCACACATCCAAGCCATTTGCTACATTTTATATCACCAATTAGCCCTCCAAGAAAGTATGATCTCTTGCATTTTATTGGTGGGCAGATGATCTTGTGGCTAATGCAAAGGTTTGGGACTCCAGAGTTCTCAGCATTAATTGCTGTGAGACTGTAGTCGCTCCGTGATTCAGTTTCCCCCATGTATAAAATGGGGATAACTAACACTTCCCTATCTCACATGGGTGTTGTGAGGCCAGGTTAATGATGGTAGCATTTTACAGTCATTATGCACAGGTGCCTGGCAGTGCTGATTCAGGCCCCGTTGTTCTAATAAGCCCTTTACTACAGCCGGCAAAGAGGTCTAAGGCATGGAGCTGTATTTCAGGGAATGGCCTTACCTCAGATTCCTGGAGATATATCCCTTTGCCGTCTTTAGTTAAGTTCTGAAAGGCCTCTGTGAAGAAATAGAATGAGGAAAATTAATTTGATGGCCAACAGGGACAAAGACAACTCAGACTCGCCAGCCCAGGAGTGAACTGAAATGCAGAGCCTCTAGCAGTTCTAGGGGGACTCAACGCCATCCAGGATAGTTCGAAATGCCTGTGTTGGGCATATGGGACATTTGCCAGTGACAGGTGGGGTGGAGTATGAGCTGCCTCATGATGCAGTGATCATTTGACCCCCGTGGAGATCAGAAGGTTTCCCTCTCTATGGCAGCTCTGGCTGGGACACGTCACAGGTCCTCCTGCTTCCTGCATAATAGGAACATCTCTTATTCCCTTAACTCCTTGCACAAACAAACACTGCAGTGCCAGATACAAGACCTGCTCTCTCCACAGAACCAAACCTTTCCAGGTTGCCTGGCCTAGGAGTCTGGGAAAGAGGCTTAGGGCCTGATTCTCCTCTAATTCACTCCATGATTTCAGTGGGGTTACTCTTGCTCTACACTAGTTTATATGAGAAGAGAACCAGGCCCCATATCTTGGATCTTGCAGCCCCGGGGACTGAGCTGAATGGCTTTGCAAGGGGCCCCAGACTTGCTCTGGGGTCCAGCATCAGTGACATGCTGAGTAATGTCCATACCCCCCATGATCTCCACTCGCAGCATGAAGCAGACGAAGCTCTCAAAGCTGATTTTCAGGTCAGGGTTGCCGTATCTGATCGCCATTAGGTTACAGACTTCGTTGCTGAGCGAAATACCTACAGAAAGGAAGAAAGGGAACGATGAGGCACCTCGCAGCCATTCAGAGGATCACAGGGTAATTGCAAAACTAACAGGACTTCACCCTTCTCCAGCATCTTTCATGTGAGGATCTCAAAGAGCTTGATAGACATTAACTATGCCTCAAACGAGGGATTGACCTAAACCAGGCCCTCAGATCCAAATGCGACCCCCAGACTTTGAGTGGTTCAAAAACTGGATCATCTCTACTCACAATATCCATGGGAGGTAAAGCAAGTAATATAACAGATCCCTCTACCCGCCACTGCAATGCAGCCACCTCTGGGGTAAGGCACAGAAATTGTTTAGCAGCAATATAACACAAGAGTTTAGGAAAAGAGGTGAAGAAGAATGTCCGGCTGAAACTAGTGGGGAAAATTATCCCCACACCATTTTCAGGGTCTGGATATCTCTCCAAGTCCAGGTGGTTGTTTTTTTGTTTCACAAATAAATGCAGGTCAATTCACCCCAAGTGTCTTTCAGTATTTGTGCCTGGAAAGCACAACCCTTATGATTTCATGTAAATAATGGCAATACCTGGATTTGGAGGTTATCTTTCACCTCTTTAGTATATTATAGCTACAGTTTTGAATGTTACCAAGCAAAATGACTTTAATTAACCAGATGGAGGCAAACTGCCAATAAATCATGAGCATTTAAAAGCCCTGATCCTTAAAAGAACTGTGTGAGTGAATCCTTTCTCCCACTCAGAGCCTCACTGAAGTCAGCGTGGCTCTGCCCAGATCAGGGGGAAGGAAGGACCTGCCGCCGAATTGCCGCAAAAGAATGAAGCGGCGGTAGAGCTGCCGCCGAAGTGCTGCCGATCGCAGCTTATTTTTGTATTTATTTTTTTCCCGCCGCTCGGGGCAGCAAAAACGCTGCAGCCGGTCCTGGCCCAGAGGCAGGGGTCCATCTGTCTGGTTCTCCTGGCAGGATCGGGCCAAGGATCTTAAAGGAATAAAGTCTGACACTGCTACTGCTTGTGTGCTTGTCTAGCTGACATAGAAGGCCAGATCGTCAGCAGCTGTAAATCGGCATTAGCACCACTGACTTTGATGGAGCTGGACTGATTTGTACCAGTTCAGGATCTGGCCCACACACACACACACCCCCAATTGGCTAAGGTGAAGTTAGTTATGACTCTGTGGGGATCCTATAGGTTTCAAAATAGGGCTTATAATGGAGAGTTAACTATGGAGTGGTTGCCTTCCTACCCCAGTAGAGAGCTGACAATGAGACGTGGATATACTGTACACAAAGCTAAAGTGAAACTTCACGCTGCAAATCACTTTCAGAAGCCAAGGTCTGGGGTCCTTGCGACACTGATAAAGTAGGCTTCATCTGACTGCTGGGAAAGTGGTTGGGAGAGAAGCTAGAGGGAGTAGCAGAAGTAGCTACGGTTATGGGGGAAAGGGGGTTCTGTGCTGTTTGCCCCTCTTACTGGCATTTAGTATTGTCTTTTAGTTCTTTCCCAGTTGGGGGGATTTTGATGAGGATTTAGTTACTTGCCAAAAGTCGGTGACCGGCTCACCTGTCTCCTGCACAGCTGCATGCAATTCCACTAAGTCCAGATTTCCTGATCTATCAACATCTTTCTTCTGGAAAACTTCCTGGTTTTTTTTAAATAAATCAAACAAGCGAAAGAAACAAAAATGAATCTGAGCATCTTAGAAGGGGAGATCTGTTGGTCAGCAGCATTGACACGCAACCCCCACTTCGCTATGTGTGGGGCTCATCAACGTGGAGGTGTCAAAGCAATTCATTACTTATACTTAGTAGTAGTAATAATATAGGAAAGTAGTAGGTTTTTCCAGGAATCTCTATTAACTTCCTCTGCAAAGCAGCCACAGAGTTGGGAGTTGTACATGGAAAAGTTACAGGCCAAAAGTCTGTCTTTATTTACAATCTGATTCCAGCGGGATTTCACAGGGGGTAAAGTCAGTGCAGAATTTGGTCCCAAGGAATCTGTTTGCAATGTGTGGATGAAGCACCTATTCAGGGATACGGTGTTCCCACATGCAAGAATACGCCCTGACTAAACTTCGCAGGGTCCAGAGTTCTGATCCCAGATGAACCAGTGACTTCCCTAAATCAGTTGGGGCTAGATCCACGAAGGGACTTATGCATTGCAATGCCTAACTTCTAGTGCCCTGCTGCCAGGTGGAATTCACAGCCCTGAGTTAGACGCCCAGGCTCCCTATACCAATGAACAGAGAGAGTTAGGCGCCTAAGAATGGGATTCTCAGAAGCCAGCAAGCTGAGTGGAGAGTTGCCTAAACTAGCCAACACAAAATGCTGGGGAGAGGAGCGAGGCCTAAGTCCTGCCCCCAAGAGTAGTTTGGTGCATAACTCCAGGCCAGAGAGAGGTGCCTATATCTGCTCAGGATTCACAGCCATAAACGCTCTCCTGGAGTTGGATGCCTCAGTCCCTTTGTGGATCCTAGCCCCTGACTTTCTTGTGCATCAGTCACAGACAGCAGGTCAATTGGGTTTTAAAATCAGGCACCTCAGTGAAAACAGATGCTGCACCAGCATTGATCTTTCTTAGCTATACACCTCTTACAAAGGGGTATCTCCATTCTCACTGGATCCTCCCTCACCTCTGGTGACTGACCAGCTTAAGACTATGTATTTCCCTGTGTCTTGACAAGCAGGCAACTTTCCCATCCAGTTCACATCCTCATGAGTCTTCATAGCTACCCAGAGATCAGACTGGTTTCTTGGGATTTAACTATCAGAGGGGTAGCCGTGTTAGTCTGAATCTGTAAAAAGCAACAGAGGGTCCTGTGGCACCTTTAAGACTAACAGAAGTATTGGGAGCATAAGCTTTCGTGGGTAAGATGCATCTGAAGAAGTGAGGTTCTTACCCACGAAAGCTCATGCTCCCAATACTTCTGTTAGTCTTAAAGGTGCCACAGGTCCCTCTGTTGCTTTTTTGGGATTTAACTGTTTCCTAGCCAATACCGATTGAGAAGTATACAGAGAGGCAAGTCACATATTTTTTTACCAGATAGAAAAGCAGCCTCTTCCACAGGACCCTGAATTCCTGAATACTCAGTGTGCCAGTGGCATTAAGCTTAGTGGAGGAGTTAAGGTCGATGATGTCTTGGTAAAGGGGCAGAGACTCCAAAATTGAAAAAAAAAGGTCAGTCCATATAATTTTAGGATAGTGGTGATGCTGATTCTGGGAAGTTCCCCCTTCACTATGGGCCGGCTCCTGCTCCCACTGAAATCAATGAGTGTTTTGTTACTGATTTCAATGAGAGCACAATCTGGTGCTTCACAAAACAAACCCTGTTTCTTCCTGACTGAATTGTTGTTATTGGGAGTTAGGAAATAAGTGAGCAGGGCAATGCCCTGATGATGTAGAAATCACAGTGTAAGTCCCTCCCCCATGAAGAATAAAGCTCAGGTAAGGTATTAGGTGCATCAAATAAATATACAGCCCGAGCTAAAGGATACGTCCAGCAGTGCCAGGATACCTTGGCAGGCATCCAGACTAAATCTCAGCCGAAAGCTCTGGAGATCTGGAAAAGAGAGGATTATTCCGGTGAATCACTCAACACTGCTCAGAAAAATAGACTCCCAGGGCCTGAGCCTGGTGCCCTCGAAATTCAGTGACGAAACTGCCATGCATTTCACTGGGGATAGGATCGGGCCCCCCAAACCTTTTGTGACACTGTTCCTCTCATTTACAAGTTACATCACTTGTGATTCAACCTGGGCAAGGGAAAAACGTGAGACAGTAGAGCCAGATTCCACTTTCAGCTGCATGGGTGTAATTCCCATGGAAGCCAATGGGAGCTCCCTGCAGCCATGTGATGAAGAGCAGAATATGACCCATTACCTGTAGCTAATACAGGAAATAGCAGTTAAAGAGCACCCCAAATATCATTTACTGGGTGACCTGGAGCAGTCACTTGATCTCCTTAGGCCTAATTCATCTGTGGTGCAGCTTTACTAGCCACAATGAATTGAAACTCTTGTGCTTAGTGTTTTTCTCTGTGTCTCTTACAGACAGGCAGCTTTTAAACTCACAAGCATAATTGAAAACCTAATTCTGAGCATTCCTGGGCCATACACGAGTGACGTGAAAAGAAACAGAAATAAACGAATCTTGTTGCAACTCATGGTTATAGATTGCCTGTAGGCTTCCACAGAGCAGATGCCATAACTCACAGATCACTACTCTACAGAAAGCGAAGATGCTGTAATCTCATTATAGCTCTGTTTATTAAATATGCATCACACACAGTAAAAGTTTTGAAACAAATGTCTTCAAACTGATTGCCTATGAAGAGTAAAGACACTCCACCTGGCTTGGTTAGTTTCCTTACAAATTTCACAACACCCAATGGGTCACTTTCGAAAGATACTGACATGAAGATAAAAAAGCAATCTTCATTCACCCTTGAGAAAATTAAAGGAACTTGCAACCCTTCAGATGTTTTATCTCCCCAGAGATAGGTGCAATGAAAGAGACTAGTGCTGATAACGCCCATTATTAGAACTGATCAGGAATTCTATTGTCTGCAAATGCCAATTTGTCAAACCAAAACTTTTTCATAGGAAAGGGTCAGTTTTGACCATTTTTTTTACTTGAAAAAATTTAGGAAAAAACGTTTTGAAATTGTCAAAACTTTTAATTTTGATATTTTCTAACAAAGAATTCTGTTTTTCTGGTTTGAAGCTGGATTGAAGATGGATCACTTGATGATTACCAGTTCTGTTCATTCCCTCTGAAGCACCTGGCATTGGTCGCTGTCAGAAGACAGGATACTGGACTGGATGGACCACTGGTCTGACCCAGTAGGGCCAATCTTATGTTCTTAAGCAACTTTTGTCTTTAATTTAAGCTAATTATAATAAAAAGTCAAAATTGAAAATAAATGTTTCAACTAACTGAATCCCGTTTTTTTTCAAACTTTCAGTTTGTGAAAATATTTGAGATTTCGACTTTTCATTCCCATTTTTGATGGGAAAATTTGTTGAAGTCTCAAAAGTTTGCGGCATGAGAAAGCCATTTCCCACCCAGTTCTATTCATTACCCTCCCATGCCTACATCAGCCCTTATCTGCATAAGCACAAAGGGACTCAGCCAACTTATTGCTCAAATGTTTCAGGCATTGTGTTTTGGGGCCATATCTGTACCAAATCCTGAGAACTGATCCTTGCCGGTTTGGAATCCAATTTAGAACCTAAATTATCAGAAAAGGTTCAAACCCGGGGTTTCAAACCAGCTCCTCTACTCCCAGAACTCAGGGAGGGAGTTTGGGAGTTACGGGTCCACTTCAGGCTCTTCTCTAACCAGTACCTAATTAATGTTACTAAACTTTTATCTCCTAGCACTTACGTGTCCAGACGACGTTATTCAGGATCCTCTGGAGTTGGACAGCGTTTATTTCCGGATGCTAGGGGAGACAAATACTATTGTAATACATTTCCCCTCCTCTGGATTTCCCAGCATGTCCTGTCTTCACTATCTGCCTTTTCAACCCCAGTCCAACTCCCACGGAAAGACACCTATTGACTCTGGGGGTGTTCAATTAGACCTTTAGATTGTTAAAAGCACATTCTCATCTGGTATAAAATGGTCGAAGCTCCACAGACATTCATGCATTTAAAGTTATTTATACCAGCTAAAAATCTGGCCCATTATTTTCAAAAGACCCTCTTTCTCTTTTGTGTCATCTGTCACATCAAGCACATTGTCAGCAAAGATGGAAAAATTAAAAAATATTTCCATTTCAGTTTTCAAAACAGAATTTTGTTTGTTTTATCAATTTTTTCATGGTTTCCAAAAACTGAAATTGAATTTTCTGGAAACTTTTGATTGCTGAAAAACTTCAGTTGCTGAAACCCAAAACTGTCCAAACCACAGAGAAACCCCCTGTGAAAGACAGTTGGAATGAGTGTAGCAAGTATTTATGTGCACACTCATCCAACCAAGGAGTCAAGAAAACACCCCATGACAACAATCAAAAGTTACACACGAAATGAAAATAATGAAAAACCTGGAAAAAAAAATTTTTTTTTCTTCCCCCATGAAAAATAAATCCTCAAAAATTTTCAAAAATGTTTACAACCAAAAAATGTTTTCAGAACCAAAAAATGTTTGTGGAAATTTTCATTTGTGAACATATGCTGTTTTTTATGTGCAAAAAAAAATTATGCACAAAATTTTGATCAGCTCTAATTCTCAGAGTTAAACAGGGCCTGATCTTCAGAAGAACTGAACAGCTACAGCTGGTATCAATGGGAACTGCCAGCACTCAGCACCTCTGAAAATCAGGTCCATAAATAATAATAATTAATAACAATCTGTAAGAATAAATATTGTTTCTCTACGAGCAAGACTAGTAATCGACTAATAGATTCCGAGGTCCATTGTGGTCATCTAGTGTGACCTCCTATAGAACACAGGCCATAGAACTTCCCCAAAATAATTCCAAGAGCAGAGCTTTTAGAAGAACATCCCATCTTGACTTAAAAATTGTCAGTAATGGAGAATCTACCACGTTGCTAAATTGTTCCAGCGGTTAATTACTCTCATCATTAAAAAGTTATGCCTTATTTCCAGTCTGAATTTGTGTACCTTCAACGATTGTGTTATATCTTTCTCTGTTAGACTGAAGAGCCCACTATTAAATAATTGTTCCCCATACATATCAGATGATTGGAGCGGCTTTGCTAATGCCTATGTTAACTTTCTGAGCACACCCAGAGTAAATTAGTGGCTTTCAGAAGCCTAAGCAGACCCAACGTGAGCGGAGTGCTCGTGAATTTAATGACGAGTGCTTTTCGCTAACTGGCATGTTTCTCGAATGCTTACGTATTCCACAACTCGAGTGATGTTCACACTGTACCCTCACGCCGATCGCCTACATTCCCCACCAGTTTCCAGCACACTCCAGCTCCCAATTTCCCCAGTACATTCTAATTTTTTTTTTTTTTGCACAATTGCTCTGGCAGCGCAAGCAGCTGGCCTTGAAGCATTTCCTTTGGCAGTTAATGTGTACGCTTACTTGTTCAAAATGCTTATTGAAGAAATCCTCCCAAATCTTGCCTTCGTGTTTATCAATTATTTCCTTTAGGGAACAAAAAAGTCAACGTTAATTGAAGAAACAGAAGCAGGAGTATCCAACATACGATCACATTCTTCCCAAATTTCACTGCATTCCCTGTCCTGCCATCACCACTGCAATTACTTGCCCAGCTCCCATTGTGGTTTCAACTTCGCTAGTACACAAAAGGAGAAGAGTGGAGAGGAACACAAGTAAATAAAAGGGAGACCCTCTGCAGGCAGATGGAAAAGAAAGAGTGAAAATGAATTGTGATGATCTCGCCAAAAAGAATGGTTTGCACAGCAGTGAAAAAGCATCTGTGTCTGCTGGCCTGTCTGTCTTGTTCTGGACATTTATACCATGTTCACCTTCATGGTACAAGAGATTCAATTTATAGAACAAGACATGGCCTCTCATTCTTAAAGTGCTGTAACACGAGGTCTCACATTCCAACTCAACCCCGACCCATCGCTGCCACAGGAGAAAAGCCAAAGTCCTGATCTGAAACACAGCTTCCGACAGTCCACCTCCCTCGTTTCAACTAACCTTGGAAAGGATGAAACTTGAATTTCCGCCCATTTCGCTAAAAATGGAAAACAATGGAAATGTTAGACCGTGTTTCCCTTATCACATGTGATTTTCCACCTGCCAAGCAGAATGCCTTCCTCTGTATCTCATGCAGGGACCCCAACCTGCCCACACACAGCTGCTGTGTCTACAATAGGGATCTTCCCCACCATTGCAACTCCATTAGTGGAAGCAGTAGTGTCAATATGGCTCCAGGCAGCTACTGGCATTTTAAGCACTATATCAGCTAACCCTGCACAGAACAGGTCTCCTGGATGTGATGGAAAGAAGGCCAGTGGCTGGTTGGGCCTAGTCTGCATTAGAGCTTTCACCGTTGCTACCAGCCATGGTGATGAACCAGTCGTAGCAATGGTGGAAAATGTAAGAGGAAATATCCTAGTGTAGACAAGGCCAGTGTCCTGTGTCTCCCCATACAGTATGCACAGTGTCCCGAGTGCTCCTAGTTCTGTGCCCTTGCCCTGTTGCACTTCTCTGGAAAGACCAGGACTAATAGCATTGTTTAGGCTATGGAGCAGGTACTTATCCTGCCCTGTAGCAGACAGCACTGCCCTATGACTCCACCACCCCGGTGGAAAGGCACAACTATCCAGGAGCACCAAGAAAACACTACAAGTAAGGGAATGGCATCATCTCACCGAAGGATGTGTTTCCTGGAGAAGACCCGCAGGATGAACTCGGACTCCTGCTGGGGTTCCGCGGTGGAGGGGACGATGACATAGACCCCAGGCTGCAGCCGGAAATCCTGAGTCACTTCCCGCTCATTCAGGAAGAAATGCCTTTGGTTGACGGAGGGGTTCCTGGCAAAGAACGCTGGTGCCAGTCTTTTGTTGCTTTTGTGGTACTGTCCAGGGAAGAAATAAAGGAAATTCCCATTGGTTTCAGGGGAAAGTCATGTGGGGGGCATGCTTAAAGAAAACCTGCCAGAGCAGATCCAGTTTCCATAATCCACAAGCAAAGGAGGCAGACATTAGAGATCTAATCAGAGAGCCAAAAGATCATTCTCCTTGTCTGTCCTCCTGCCAGATTGTCCTTATGGTACATTCTCATTGCCCAGTTTTAAAAGTCACCAAGCAATGGGGCTTCCACCCAAGTCCCTCTGCAGCCTACTCAGATCTCACTAGGAACAGCGGCCCGGAACTTCAGCGGGGGACGGGGCAAGAGTGGCCTTACGCCACCTTTGCACCCTTCTTATTCTGGGCTGCTGCAGGGGTCATTTCAGCCCCCAGTGAAAGTTATAACAGCCAGGAGCTGCCCTAAGCTCCAGCAGCCTTCTGAGCACTGCACTACCCAGAGCAGCATACAACACCCTATGTTGAGGGCTACATCCTCAGCTTTTCCCTCATGCTCCACAGCTCTGCCCCAGTAGGCCCCACGCACAAGAGTTTTTTGGGGGGGACTAAGGGGCGTGGATTTATAGGGTCACCTATGGTGGTGGTCCTACACTGTGTCTGCACCAGGACAAAGTGGGGTGAGGGCAGAAGTCCACCTTAAGTCTTTGCTACAGCTTCCAGGCCTCCATGTGTGTGTATGTATCCCCGATACCTCAGGTCCTACTAAAGGATGCAGCACTCTTTGCTCTTACAAATGGTTTTTATTCTGCAGGCCAAAATACTGCAGCCTCCTTACATGGGCTGTGCCTCAAAACCGCTCAAACGTTTCACTTTCTTGCAGAATGGTGGAGTTCCTATTCTTCTCCCTTTGTCCATATTTCTCTCATGCTAATGCAGCAATCTCTCATCTAGGGAGGCGTGAGGCTGCCCCTTACCATGCATCATATATTACATTCATAGCTTTTATGCCTCTGTCAATACCGTGATTCACTGTAGTTCCAATTCCAAAAACGGTCTCGGTTTTACATCTCTCAGCATTAATCTCGGTGTTTGATACAAACCTGAAACTGAACTCCCCGCCACCACCATCCCTGGTGTCCCCATTAGCATGGATGCAGCACAGACAGTGCTGCGGTGTTCTCCTAATCCGTGTCAGGCCCATGTGTGCTAGTGCTAGCAAATTTAATCTCACTTGTATTCCTAATGGTGCCCTAACATACCTAGTTCAGAAAGAGCCCATATCTGAGGCTACTGTTTCTAACACAAGGTAATTAACATTGCAAACATGCTGGGGTGACTGTTCGCTAAAGTTAGTTCTTTACCAATCCATGTTCCTGGGGACACTGATTTTGGAAGTGAGTTAAGTGGTTAGCAGGGCAGTAGGTGCAGGATTCCTAGATACAAGATCAGAGCTAGATCCTGCCCTGGCTTATAGCTGCTATAGCCCCTTTCAGATCAAGGGGTGTAAGTCAGGGCAAACTCACTCCTCAGTTTTTAACTCCCAGGAGCCCACCTTAGGTTCCAAAGTTCCAAGAGGAGGTGAAAGGGTTAAGAACATCCTGTAAATGTTGGCAAAGCCCAGGTGGCAGAAGACACCTGCAGCCTTTTCTCCGGGAGATCCCCAACAATGAGCTGGTGGGAGGGTGAATTACCTTGAGTCTCCTCTAACTAATTCTGGGCACCTTCCCAGACCTTGGCTGATCCCAAGAGTAGGAGGGTGGTATGCCACTTTTCCCTCCCCCTTCCCCCATTGCTGCTCAGAGCACAGCTCAGATGCAGCCCAGGAGCAGGACCTTAATGCTGAATTGAGGTACGCTCCTCTCAACACAGCCCGAGTCATAGCTCTGTATTAACGGTGATTTCTTGTAATGCCTTCTAAAGCTTGTATTAAGGCATTTTGAACTGTGGGTCAAGAAACAAAGGCACTCGCAGCTCCACAGGTGGTGACAGAGTCTGAATGGCCCCCATGTGATGCCAACGGAAGGTAGAGAGGGACTTACCTCTGGGCCCACCTAAAGGGGAATAAAGAGAAAGCATCCATCAGTCAAGAAGTTCAGAGCCCTTTAGCTCACAGCTAACAGCAGATGTAGTTTAACAACTGGAGGAGATTCAGTGGGGCTCCTTAACTTAAAAAGCCCGAATTCCTCCCTTCGAAAACCTTTCCAAGGCCATCCACAGCCCATTCACCAGGGTGGGTCAGTAAGGCTGGGGTCGCTGAAACACGTGGTGGCAACAGGACCCTCAGCACTTTCAACAGTCAGGAAGGAGGCTCCCTATGGAAGGGGGTCCCTTGCTAATATGGCCCACAGGACTTTGGTGCTGCGGCTGGAGGAGCACAATGCCCCAGAGGAAATGGGGGAGGCTTTGTACCTGACTAAGGCACAGTGGCCCTAGTTTTCAGAACAGCTGAGCACCCACAACTCCAGCTGAAGTCTGCGGGAGCTGGGGCTGCACATTCCCCCAGAACTGCTGGGAGCACAGAGGAATTGACGCTATGGGCCACACCCCTTCCAAATGTGATGGTTGCCTCATCAGGGATTGAACCGAGGATCTCCAGAGCTAAAAGCAGGATCTGCGACATCTTGAGCTAAACCTCACCAGCAGGAGCTGTCACTGACTAAAATCCTCTATGGCTGGGGCATAGAGGAGGAACCTATAGCACTCATTCATCAGTGTGTTACACATGGCTGCAATATCACACCCAGGGCCAGCTCCCTGCCCTCCCCACCCTCTGTGGGGTGATTTTGCCATTATGGATGGTAGCCTGAGAAGGACTCCGTATCCAGCTTCTGCTCAGGAGGCTCCTATCCCTTCCTTCAGCCATGGTGCACACATGCGTGTGTGCGCACACAGACAAACACACACACAGCTGGGCAAGGTGAAGCCCAGTACACACTGGGGTAGCAGGAGCTCCTTTACCTCCCAGCAGTCTGACAAAGACTATGCAAACACAGATCACATCCTGAGCTTGATGAAAAGCTCAAGGAAAGATGTGTCTGAAGGGGCCCAACCCCGCCGATTCAAGACGAGATTCTTGGATGAATGGGAGTCACATGCAGACAGGGAGGTGAGAACACAGAGCCTGTTGGGCTTTGCGGGATATGTAACTCTGAGGATCTGCAGAGCTCTCACTTGGTTCGGAGGTAGGACGTTTCTCCCGCTGGGCAGAGCAACCCATTTATTCCACCACAGACCAGATCTCTACCCACCTTGAAGATGGAAAACCCTATGGAGAGGTGAGGTGCCCGGTTTCGGTGTTTGCTGCTGGGTTTCTGGATCAGGGACACCAGCACACTGCAGGAATGCAGGGACCTTTTGCTGCCGTCACCCTGCAAAACTTCCAGCCAGTACTGGGGATTCATCCAAAATGTGTCTGAAAAGCAAAACATAAAAACCTTCTGGCCATGTGTTCCATCACACATTTTGTCGCTGGGTTTCCATGTGATACCTGGCTTCAGGCTGAGTGGGGGAAGCAGCTCATTTATAATCGCCAAAGGCCCCAACCAAGGCCAGAGCCCTACTGGGCTAGGTAATACACAAACATATAGTAAGAGAGAGGCCCTGCCATGAAAGATCTCACAACCTAAGCAGACAAGACAAAGGGTGGGAGGAAGGAAGAATTATTTCCCCTCATTTTAGTGGGAACTGAATCACTGGGGCACCAATTGCCAGTGGTGCTGAGCACCTGTGGTTCTCCTGGACTTCAACTGGACTAGTGAATGCTCTGCATCCCTGAAAAAAATTAAATCTTAAGCGGCTTGCCCAAGTCACAGAGTCAGGCATTGAAACCACTTCTTCTCTGTGCCACAATAGGCCCATCACCACAAGACCATCCTAAGGAAACCACCGGATTTCAGTGGTAATGGAGAATAAGCTGGCTCCCTTGCCTGTTCATTGCCAGACTTTCTAACCTTTTTTACAAGGTGTCAAATGTTGGTTATGATAGGGTGACATTGGGCTTTGGGTCTTGAGCCAAACTTTGCTTTGCTTGAACAAATTCCTCTCTTTACTCTTTACGCAGAAAAGTCTAAATCCAGATCCCCTAAAGGGCCACCCAAGTACCGTTCACCTTTGTAGGGCCTCAGCCTGCCGCCCGCTGTGCTTCCTTTGACCCATCTCCCAATCTGCAGAGAATACATCCACTTCTTCCCATCTTCCTGGCTCATCAGGTCGGGAGTCAATTTACAGATCATCAGATCTACAAAGTGGGTCTTAAAATCTTGCAGAGACATCCTGTGAAAAGACCGCCACAAGATGCTTAGTCAGCAGCCAATCCACGTGGTTAAAAAAGTAGAGGCTGGCTATCCCCAGCACTGCCCCATTCTGTGTTACATATGGTAATCCTTACATATTATTAGCTAGTAAAGAAGTTAATGTTTGCTCCAACAGCAACATGCAGCAGTGGTGAATGCATAACTAAAGGCCCAACAAAGGACAGCAGCAGAGGGATTATTATGAGAATACTAGCAAAAGAACAAGTATAATGAAACCGGCTGAAACATTGCCACCTAGTGGCAAAAATATATGGGACTGGGAAGCAGTTGAACAAACACTATCTGCCTGACCAAAGCTTTGCCCGGGTTTGTGTTGAAAATATAATGACAAAAATAGACTTTAAGGTCAGAAGGGACTGGACAAAGATTCTTCCTCTACTCTTGAAAGCGCTCTTGACTTCACATAGAAGAGCGCTTGTATCATACAGGCTGTTTCTCACGTCCCTTTACCACCAGATGGCAATGTAGCAGCCCCATGTAATTTCTCCCTTTTAGTTAAAAAACAAAAAGCGATCCAATTGCTATAAAACATCATGCACATATCTCATCTTAGAGCGCAGCAGAGAGACAGATCAGCATTAGCTGTGGCCTTGGCGCTGGGTGAAGGAGGAGCGGAGCTCAGATATTCACAGTTCCATTACCAGAATTCTCCATCATCTTGGTTTCTCCGCAGCAAAATCTTCTCCTTCGGGCTGAGCAGCTCCCAGTTCCCAGAGCTAGGGACAGAAACAAGGCAGCTGATTTTGAAGCAATAATTAAATAAATGCTCCAAATCTATCTTCAAGTTCAAGAAGCTCAATACAGACATCTGCCATAAGATCAGTTCCCGCTGTAACAAATCTCTGGCCCCAAGCAGTTCACCGTTCGCACTAGACGCTGCACTGTGGACACTCAGAATGGCATGGCAGAAGCAGGGATAGAACCTAATTCCCCCTATACCTAAAGCATAGGCTTGAGCTAAAGGCAAATCTCCATCAGTTGCTAGCCATAGAGATCCTATGTAAAACAGCTGAGCAGTTCTGTTGTTCTTCTGTAGAGATCACTAATGTTGGATAGCACACTGGCCAGCAGATCTAGGGGTTGTCCCATTCCATGAGAATTTTTGAGATTGTGAATTTTTTTTCCTGTCTTGAAAGAATGAAATGTCAAAATCTGGGGAAAAAATTATACACATTTTTTACTATAAATTCACTTATATTTCTAAAGAAAGTCATTTTGATCTGAAAATTTGAACTTTTTCATTTTGAAAATATCAAAATGGAACATTTCAACCATTTAGAAACTTTTTTTCTCATTTTTTTTTAAATGGGAAGTTCATCAAAACAGGCCCTCTCCTGAAAACAGTTTTGGTTTCAACTAATCAGCATTTTCCAAAGAAAAAACATGTTGGAAAATTCCCACCCAGCTCTACTGGCCAGTTCATTAGATTATACATGCTGCTTCCAAATGTTTAAAATATAGACCTTGCGTTCTATTTTGTTTGTCAATTCTGTGTCAAAGGACACGTAATCGGACGAATATTCTGCATCAAGTACCAGAGGCAGCTGGAAGTGATTTACAAGTCAGGCCTACGGTATGCTCTTCATTCTTTCTTCAGCATGGCCAGCTTTCATGTTATCACGTGACAGATGCAGATCAGAGGAAAGTTACTCTCTTTTCATACGAGGCAAAATCCAGACATGTTCCCAACACCCCCTCATAAAACCTGAGCAAAGAGGATTTGTGCAGGGAACTAACTGGAGCTGCCAAAGAAGGAATCCGCCCCAACCTAAAATGAGAGTAGGTTGCAGAGCTACAGCACAGTCCTTTTGCAGACTCCAGCCTCTGAGCTGGAATAGCAGCCACTGTCCCTCTGTGACTGAGGGGCAATGGCTACTATACTTACTATGCCCTCCGTAGAGGGAAAGGAAGTTCCCAGCTGCTGCATCCATGTAAACACAGATTCGGGGCCCTTCCACCACTTCCCTTGCCATCTCTACTTGTGCCTTCCCACTTTGTCATATTCAGAGCCAGCCTGATGCCTACTTCCCTGAAGAGCAGGTAGTTCAGGCCCTGCCCCACTCTAATCTCAGAATCCCAGAAGTTGCAGTATATAGAAGATCTTGCATGATCCGCAGACAAAGGGATGAATGTCCTGATATATGATATCAGATCACCTTACTATTCTAGCTGTCCTGGGAGCAGCCTCGCTGATAATCAGAAAACACCTGTGTCTGATGCTAGATCCCACCGTGTTCATCATTTTGCATTATGAAGAACCCCCTTTACGTTATGTTTCTTTTGACAATAAAAAAGCAGAACCAACGTTCTGTGTTTTAAATACTCGGAAGTAGCATGTGTGAAATAATTAAGTTAGTTGAACTGAATTAGCACTGGCTGATCTAGCAAAATATCTCCATGAACTCATTGCCTTGAAACCAAAGGGTATCTAAAAGCAGCCCCATCTGTTCCATTAATGCAGATCTCATCAGCACTAATTTATGCCTGCAGGTGGCAGCATCATTTCATCCACCCAAACCTCTCCTCAGCACTAGCCCTTCCCTGTTTCACTCACCTATCGCTCCACTCTCCTTTCCATTCAGTTTTCCCCCATGGATTTCTCAGTCTCACTAAATTTTCCGGTCCATATTTGCAAGTCACCTGCACAAAACAAATAACATTGAGTTTACCGGGGTCTTTGTCTGGTTTATATTTGCATAATATGCCATGGTGACTCCTCTCCTTTTACTGATGTCAACACGTGTGATGATAACGGTGCGCGCGCTATTCTTTTCAATTACTCTGCTCAACGCAGAACTCTGAACTGAGGCTCAGAGTGATTAAGTGTCTTGCCCACAGTCACGCAGAAAGCCTATGGCTGAGCCAGGAATAGAGCCCAAACCTCCAGAGTCCTAGTCCAGGGTCTTAACAATAAAACCATCCTCCCACTACAATATCTGTGTAACTCCCTAGCAATCAACCTGGAGTAGTGCCTGCATAGCCGAGGGCAGGACTGGGCCATGAAGACTAATTCTATCAGTAGGATGAATAATCCAAGGCAGCCTAGAACGTTGCTACAAGAAGCTTAATTTTAGCACTTCCTGAAGTGGACTGTAACTGGGGGAATGGAGGGGAGGGGCATTGTGCCTGACCTAGGGGGCAGAGAGAGGGTGAAAGGAGTTTCCTCTCTCCACGCTCGCCTTCTTGTGTTTTTGCGCAGGTTCTAGGCACAGCAGCCGCGCTTGTGCTCTCCTGCATGGAAAGAATGTTTCAAGGCAAGTGCTGCTGGTGGTAGCCCTCCCAGACGCGACAGGGCTGTGGTCCCCGGGCACTAGGCACCTTGTGAATGGGATTCTGACTGAGCCTTTTCACCTCTTGTTCTGAAGGCACCTCATGTCAGCAATGACCTAATGCTGTTATAACAGACGGCTGTTTGGTGGCCTGTGTGAACTGAGTCTCAGTCCATTTCCGAACAGTGATCACACGAACCACTACCAGAACTGGCTCCCATCTCAGCAAAGACACCAAGGAATAAATTGGGGGCCAGGGAGGCTAACTCTTCTTTACCAGCAGAGGTTGAACCTTTGGGTCAGGGATGAGCCCAATGAGCAGGGTGAGGAGTGAGGACACTTGCCCCCCTGCTTGTGCCCCTGCTAACGAATAAATAGGATGCTGATCACTGAGATCATCTTTCACTCAGCGTTTGCCTCATGGCCCAGGATCTGGGAGACCTGAGGTGGGCAGTGGCTTCCCAAGCCATTTGTTTGGTGGCCTTTTCTGCCCCGGTAACAGCAACAAGAGTTCTTCCCACCCATGCGCCATCCCATCCAGTTGGCTTCGGATCCGATGCTCTATCTACTGCCTATCTCTTCCACTAATCCCTCCCCCTGATGAACTGAACCGATCCGATCTGGAGGCCAGGCTGTCTGATCAGTTGCAGGCTTGGACAGGGCTTCTTCGGTGCCTTTCCCTTAACCTTTGTATCCTGCTGTGACACTAAATGGTGGGACATTCTACCACTCAGTGAAGGTGAGCAACCCCGGTGGGCCAGCCTTTGCTCCACAGTGGTCCCACAGCCAACCAGAGATGTTAGCTGGATGCTCCTTCATGGAGCTGTGAGCATGAGCCCATGGCTCATCCACAGACACCCCTAATGCCTGCCCCTTCTGCGGCACACCCTGGCACAGATCTACCCAGAGTGCATCAGGCTGCAGCACCTCTTGCTGGGATTATGGCTGCACTTTTCCACACATCTGTCCCTTTATGCACTCTATGCCTGTGGCCCACAAAGTCACAGAGCCTCCTTGGCAGTCTTCTCCTGGTGCTGGCCAAGCTGGCCATCAGTACAAAAGGATGCCAAGTGCTGCGGGTCTCAAACCCCAGTCCACAGGGCTCTTAGGAGCCTGTATGTTCCAACCCACCACTCAGTGACCTGTTAACAATCACCAGCACTCGAAGCTCAAGTCTGACAGAGCCCTGGGATCTGAATGGTGGAACACCAGGGATCCTGACTGGTTCCCTGCTTCTATTTAAACAAAGCAGAGAAACAAGAAGTCAACTGTGAAAGTGGATTTTCCCCGCTGAGGACTGCCTCCCCTGTGCTACCTGCTCCTATTGCCTGACTCAGATCTCCTGGTAATCTGACCCTGCCTGTTTCCTGACGCCTGACTCTTGGTCTGCCCTCTGGGCTGTCTTGGCCTCTGATATCCTGGCATCCTGACCCGGCCTGCCTCCTGGCTTCTGACTCCTCTTCTGACCACCAGGCCTGACTCCTACTCCAACCACTAGGTCCAACCACCCATGTCCCAGTCATGACCGAAGAGGAAGCTTGAGGGGAAGGTGCTCTGCGATTGTGGGGCCTATTCCCGTAACTTGCTCACAACATGTATCTGGGCAGAGTTCCTCTGGGCAATATCCACCATCTCTTCGAACTCCTTAGTGGAACAGTGGGCGCCATCTGGGGTTCGGTGCTTTGTGTCCCCATCCAGTTTCTTCATTTTAAACCTATGCCCCCACATGCCTATTCCTGGTTTTCATTTTCCGTCCCATGCATTCAGATAGTTTCTGGGCTCTGTGGCCCCTCACTTGGTTGCATGGGTGTCCTAGGTAGGCTTAGGCCCACCTGCTCAGAATTCAAATAGACCAGCCCCTTTCAGTTTAAGATAAAGGGAATTTAGACAGCTCGGCTTAGCATGCTTTTGTAGGTTATACCGTCCGCAGAGCCCATGAGTCAATTACAGCCTGAGAGTTACACTGAGGTCGAGCCAGTGTCCCCTATGTTTTATTCCTGCTGGTAAAAAGAATGCAGTTTTGAAAGGAAAACTGCCTGAAGCACTCCTCATTTTCAAGCCACCCTGACATCACTTAAAAGGGAGTGGATGGCACATGAGGCTCCCCAACAAAGCACACAGCCTGCTCATGGTCTGACCAAAGGCTGCAACAGGGAATGCTGCTGGCATTAGAGACAAGTTTGGAGCTAGAGAACCAGCGTTGTCCTTACCTTTCTAATACCAGTGACTGTGTAGGCATGGCCAGCCACCAGCCCATTCTCTAGGACCCTTGCTGTCTGCATATAGGGAAGAAAAAGAGAAAAAACTGCAATAAATGTATTAATAAAGCAACAGCTGAGCCCAATGCTGCCCTCAGCTCTGAGGGTGCGGTTCCCAGTGGAGTCAATGGGAGCTATACTTGTGTATATGAAGATAGAATTTGGCCCCGTGTAACTACAGACTGGCTCCAGCTGCAAAATTCTGATCTGGGCTCCCAATGCCGCCTCGTCTGCAGGGCATTTAGAATGGGGGTTTTAGCTGAGCCCATTACAAAGACAGGGGCCATTTGCAAATCTCAGACATAGGTTTGCAGTTCAACTCCACTCCCTACCCCAAAGCCCAGACCCATCTCTGATGGTAAGAAATGTGGAACACCAAGGGCAGTTTAGAAAAAACATGCAAAACTTAAAAAGAAATCTGTGATTTTTAAATAAAGAATGTGAAACATGCTAATGTGCATCATCTTAGATACCACAGGGATGGCAGCTATAGAAAAATGTGAGAGAGATCGGTGTAATAAACTGCTGCTCGGCTTGGTGGAGGGAAATATTCCCAGGAAAGATGGTGCTGGTGGTAGCCTATCCATCCATTTGACATCAGACTGGGCCTCACCCCTAAATGCGTCTGGCAACCCATAAGAGATCTGCTGTAGGTTGCTCTTGTCAGTATATCCCATAGATCAGGAGGAGCCTCTGCCAGTTTTATTGTCATATTAACTCCGCCTGTAAAATCCACCAGCGCTTCCGACACTTGTCCAATCTGCAGATCTTCATAGGAGCCATAGAGCCTAGCAAGAGAGATATCAGTTTATCGGCTATTAATTTGTGGTACAAACATAGCTAATAGGGATGCAGTGATATTAGAGAGGGGCAAACCCCAGGATGGGCTTGCAAAACCAAAGTGAAGGTTGAAATCCATGATTCATTTTATATGAATCCTCAATATTCAGGAGGAGGGGAATACAGATAATTGATTTCAGGTTTGGAAGGGACTTCTGGTTTCCTCTATTTCTAGTCTAAGCCCCTTCACTAAGAAGTATTGAACTTCTCCTACACTATTCCTTTCATAATCATATCTTAGCTAGTTTCTTCTGAATATCTACTGCATCTTAAGACTTTAGTCCACTGTCTGATTTTCCTCACCATTAACATATTATTTCAAAATAGCAAAGCAAAATGGAATCTTCTCAAATGTAGCTAGTCTCTCATTGACAGAAGGCTAGTGTCCAGTGAAATTAATTAATTTTCCCTCTTTCATATTGTCTCCCTTCTAATATTTATTTAGAATTCTCTCCCATTCTTGGGATCGTTTTTCAGACCAAATACGTTAAGCTCCTTCAGTGTCTCCTTGTAAGATTGTGAAGGTCATGTATCATCTAATTTGCTCTTCTCAGTGCTGTCTCTTTCTTAGTGTTCATGAATGGAGCTGGATTAACCACCCTGGAGGAGTGGGACTGGAGTGTTCAAACGTGACTTTGTGGAGTGGTTCAAAGTGAGTCCTTCAATTATTGGGTGCCT